GGCAGGAGAGCCCGGCATCATCCACCCGGCCGTGCGCGGCCGCTTTCCCCGGAGGAGCATTCGCTCCGTCCCCGGGCGGAGCGTGGGTGCAGCTCGGCGCCAGGCCTGGGGCCGCCGCCTTCCCCAGCGGCTGTGACAGGACAGCTTACCGGAGCGATTTCCCTCCGTCTTAACCACCCGCTAGTGGTTCGCAACGTCCATTTAGTAATTGGTGTCTGCCCGGACGGGGAGACGTTTTTATGTGACTAGAGTACAAAATGTCGGGGAATGTGGGATAGCTGGCTTAGAGTTTTTATTCACGGGGTTCTGTACTGCGCACTGGGTTACGGGTGTTACAGTAGGTCTTGGGCAAAACAAAAAAAACCCACAACATTATGTTGAAATTCTGCTTCCTGGCAAATTGTCGACAGTTTAGCTCAAATTAATTCACAAAAATTCTTTAAAAAACAAAACAACAACACGCAAAAAAACGCAACAACTTTGAAAAATCCCGCCGCTACTTGAAGGAGCTTGCTCGGCCCTCACAGACCATCTCCGCGTGCTTATCGTGGACCAGCCTGGAGATGAGACACTGGGAGGAGTTCGGGCCTCGGGAGGTATATTTGCTACAGTGAATACTAGGGAGGCTCCGACCATCGGAAGAGTAGGGACCTGAGGAACACGCACAGGAGGGAGCACAAATCATACCAAATACAAAAACAGCCTTAACACATGCCATATCACATACAAAATCATTAACAAGTCCATTGGAAAGATTACACTTGGATTCATCAGGAATGGAAAATTGCTAAATGGAGGTATCAGGATGGTTATCTTAACTTGAAAAACACTCAACAGGTTAAATGCAGTACTCCAGGTGACAGACTTGTCTTTTCAGGGCAAAAAAAAAAAAAAAATCCTTCTGCAGAGAGAGTATTGTTCACATAACTGAGAAGGTGAACTATTCCAAAAAGAAAAGAATAAGGCTTCCTGAGGATAAATATCTAAAAGATAAATCGCTGACTTTGGGGACTAGAGAAACCTCTACCCATTCAAACTAACAAAAGGATAGGAGCCTCATGCATATTTCCTTAGATCCACCTGCAGCTTTTTGTGGAGTCTAACTCTGCCCTTAAAATGCCTTTGCCCAGCTCTCAAGGTCAGCTACCCTAAGAGATAGGTTAACTCTGGTGTGTTTTAGTGGTAGAACCGAAATAGCCTTTTTACTAAAATCAAAGAATTGCCATACTACCAGTTCATTTTTTAAAAAAAATACCAAAATATATAAAGAAAAAATATTAGAAAACTGAAGTTTAGCGATAATCTTAATGGGAAATAACACATTGTATAACATCATGTTGTAATGTTAAAAAAAAATTGCAAATTGAACAATTAGAGGTTAGCAATCTCAGCTTCCTAATTAGTAGCCTGTAAGATACTTACTTATACATACTTGTTGCCTTAGGCATCATCAACAGGAGATTATAATTAAGATGCTTCCTGAAGACTTTATTTTTAGTTGAATTAAGCCTGACTTCAGTTTGTTTTTCGATAATTGTACTAGTTTGTTTTAATTAATGCTGGGAGCAATGCTGACTTTTGTGACAAATCTTTCATGACAGATCATCCTGATTATCTTCCTTAGCCTTATACCTTGCAACTCTATTTGCATTTTAGATCCTACAGTAATAACAAGAATTAATGTGTACTGTATTGATTATTTGCTAAGTATAAGCCACTGAATTCAGTGCTTCACAGCTTTTAAGCCTCCCTAAAATCCTATGCAATAGGAATTATCAGCCTTCATTTTATAGGTGAGGAGCCGGTAATGTTGGAGGCAGGATTTATATCTAAACATTGTGATTCCAAGAACCCATGATGTCTAAAGGCTACATGTAGTTTTCCAATAAGCTACGTTTTTCTCTCCATCGGAGATGTCTTTCTCATAGTCATCCTACCAAACACTTAAGAATTCATAACTCAGCCCTAACCTGTTTGGCTCGGTGGATAGAGCACTGACCTGTGGACTGAAGGGTCCCGGGTTTGATTCCGGTCAAGGGCATGTACCTTGGTTTCGGGCATATCCCCAGTAGGGGTGTGCAGGAGGCAGCTGATCGATGTCTATCCCTCTCCATTCCTCTCTGTAAAAAATCAATAAAATATATTTTTTTAAAAAATTCATAACTCAGGTTAAATGTTACTTTAAAGTCTTCCCTGATCTCCTTCTTAATAAGCCTACTCTCCACTACCACCACTATACTACCACTAAGTCTAACACTTCTATTATTGCACTGTCCTTATACATAATTATTGATCTCTTTCTCTCTCTTATTATTAAACTTTGAGCACCTTGAGGGGAGGGACTGTTTCCTATTCTCAATTCTCAGTTCCTTGCCATGTGCCTTTCATGTGATCAATAAAGGCTTAAGGGATTTAAATATGAGGGACAATTAACACTTATGCATTTACTACTTCGCTTTCTCTTTCCTGACTTCCTGAAATGTTCCTTTTAATATCTCTTCACCCCTTCCAGGTTAAACTTCTCCAGGTTGTCTAAATTTGGTGTTCTCTCCTTCCCTCACAGGCATGCCCTAAAACTATTTCTATTTGGCTTAAGCTACCACCACTCTACCAAAACTACTTTCACTAAGGCCATCAATAACCTTTGATTGCTAAATCTAGTGGTTTCATTTTACCACTGGTTTTCATTTTACATGGTTCTCAGTAGCATCTGACACTATTGATCATGCCTTCCTTGAAATACTCTCTCTTCGTATTCAGACACCATGCTTCTCCTACCTACTCTGCTATATATATCTTTCTTCTAAGCTTGCTCACTGTCCTTAACAAATACGGTTTTTTCAGGGTTCAGTTCTTAGCCCTCTTATCTTCCTATACTATCTCCCTAGGTGATCTCATTCATGCCCATAAATTCAATTTTCTATCTGGTTAGCTAAGGTTTCTGAGATTTTTATGTTTAGCCCACAACTTTCTTCTGTGATCTGGACCCAAACATGCAATGGTCTAGTTTCTATTTCCGCTTGGAGTATGAAAGCCACCTTAAAGTCTTCATATCCAAGACTGAACTTTACCTCTCCCATAGCTGCAGTAATTGCAATTACAGCAAGAACAATACACAAAAAGCCTAGTCCTCCTCCACTATGTTCCCCATCTCAAACAGTAGCAACCTCAGCTACATCGTCAAGTGCTCAAGGCAGAAACACTGGTTTAAGTTTGAGGTTGTACTTAGTTCAGCTATTTTTGCCTCAATTTACTTCTAAAGCCACAAATCAGCTGAGTAAAGGGTAAACATGGGCTAAATAGACAGTTGAGGAGCATTTTCTTATTGGTTCCCTTGTACCTCATAAAGCTGTGTCTAATGTACAGTGGACATAATGGCCAGATTGAATAAAATGTTCTCCGGATTAGAATTGAAGTGGCACACACCACATGTATCAGACCCATTAAATGCACTCAGTGAGCCACATGATGTAATTACACCCAGGTGTAATGGGCAGGTGACAGGCCTTTGACTTTTTATTGTGCCAACACCGAAACAAACTTTCCTTTTGGTGCTTGTCCTGCAAAGCCTGAGAGGTTTTCCACTATATCTGCTTAATGCCTGTGTGGAAAATTCTAGCCACATTTAACAATTATCTTTGACTCTTCCTGTTCCTTACCCTTGACACCCAATTAATCACCAAGTCCTATTGTTTACAACTCCTAATTTCCACCATTATCACCTGAAAAACTGCTATTTCCCAATTCCACTCTTGCTTTCCTCTCAATTCACCATAAAGTAGCCCGAATGATCTTTTTTCTTTTTAATATGTTTTTATTGACTTTTTTAGAGAGAGGAAGGAATAGGGATAGAGACAGAAACATCAGTGATAGAGAAAGATCCTGCAGGCCCTGGGGATTGAACTTGAAACCCAGGCATGTGCCCTGATCAGGAATTGAACCCCAATCTCTTGGTTCTTGGGTCCACGCTCAACCACCGAGCCACACAGGCCAGGGTGGAGTGATCTTTTTAAATAGCAAGTATGTTTATATTACTCTGTTTTGGGGGAACTGTTCATCAAAGATCAGGGGACACTCCCTTACTATCAGACTGTTTTCTTTATAAGAAAGTAAAAATGTTCAGAAATTCAAGAGAGAGAGATGGGTAAGAAGTGGATAATTTTATTTTATTTTTGCTTTGTTGAGATTAAAGTCAAACTGACTTCTCTACTTTGTGTTACACTATCACCTAGTGCTTGATTGTTTCATTTTGATTGATTGTTGTTCAAATGAATTTTTCCGTTTCAGTATCTACAAACTGAAGTAGGTCCCAATTCACTTCTGTTCATGGGATCCAACTTATATGCCTGATCCTTACAAGTTTTGTTCAGCCGGTATGGCCCAGTACTTGAGCATCGACACATGAACCAAGAGGTCACTGGTTCAATTCCTGGTCAGGGTACATGCCCAGGTTGAGTTCGGGCTTGATCCCCAGGAGGGGGCATGAAAGAGTCAGCCAATTGATGTTTCTCACTCATCGATGTTTCTATCTCTCCCTCTCCCTTTCTCTCTCTAAAAATCAATAAAAATATTTTTTTTAAAAAAAAGAAGTTTTGCTCTTTTCCGGCTAGAACCATGGAGGGTGCCGAAGAGAAGAAGA